CTTCTGAAAATCTTCACTGAAAAAATACATTCTGGTTACAGCCTATTTTGAATTACTTCTATTTTATCTGAAATGGTTTCTTTTTTAACTCCCTTATTGGTTACAATGGTAAAATAAATAAATAAAAATTACTTATTTTCCCCTTCTGTCCTTTTGACTGCAGAATACATGCCAACTTTGTGCACTAATTGCAACTCTTACTGTAGTACAAATGTATTCCATGCACTCAGAAGTCAGTCTTTAAATCCGTGGTTCACTTCAGTGGCCATTCTTCTTTTTTCTATCATGTTCACACATACAATAATGGTGTGGCTTGGCTTACGTCATAAGAAGTGTGATTTAAGTAATCAGTAATCAGTTCACCTCACCTGAAACCTAACTTGTCTGTTACTTTGTTGGTTTTCTTTGTGATCACCCACTTTCCTCTGCAGCCACAGCCAGAAAACTGGTGGAAAGTTGTATAGCTAAGAAGGCCATTCTGTAGCACACCATTTCATGTTTCAGAGCTGAAGGAAACCAGTGAAGAAGTATGAATTACATTCATTTTATGAATGCAATCAAAGCAATCACAACAGGCAGACAGTGTCTGGCTGGCCTGTGAAAGTCAATTGACTTCAGACAGGTTCTTCAGAGCCTGATATACAGAGAGCTGATACACAGAATGTGCTGAAAAATCAAATTGAAGCTTACATTGCAAATCCTAAAATTAGCAAATAGTCTGAATTTCAAATGTAATTTATGATGTTTTGCCTTTCTTGTTTTTCACTGTTCAACACATGGCCTGAAAACAGATAAAAATAAAAAAGGTAATTAAAATAATTAATTTTAGAGACTTCTCTACTTCTTCTTGAAAACAAAAGGTGAATGCTAAACACATTTTTGAGCTTCTAATATTTATTACTGCAATTAAATTATTGCTATTACATTAATAATACCAGCCATAGGGCAAAAGTTTTTTGTTAAAATTGCCACTTCCACCTTCTTTTTCAAGGAAGAGATTTGCTAATGTTCCACAGAGGAGAGGAAAACATACAATTTGCTCCTTTGTCTTCTCTCTTTCCCTGTTTCTCTACAAAAGAATTCAACTGCACCTGTATTATCCAATAGAAATAATATACAGATGTTAACAGGAGAGTCAGTCTGTGTACCCCAAACATTATGATCAAGCCTATCAACTACATTATAGAAGAGTTTACATTTGCTGAATTGTTATGTTCTGTTTTAGAGATATCTTTTCATCACTGGAGAAAACTTCAAAAGATTTTAGGCTTTGACATCCATATCCAGGGTAGGTTTCAAAGTCTTTCATCAACCACTGAAACTGGATTAGCACCAGAAAATATTTAACAGTCTCTACCTGATTAAAGAAGAAACTGAGGGACCTCTGGCTTAGCAAGAATCTATAAAATGTGTTTATTAAATTCAAGATATCACACACTTAAAATGGAATTCTTCAGCATTTTTGGGGGAAGATTGACTTATGATTTGATGAAGAGCTGATGAAGAGTCTGACAAGGTAATGTCAAAATACAGAACCAAAATATTTAAGCTAATAGTTACAGATACAGGCTGGGAGAGCAAATTTAACAAGGCAGGATGTGCTTACAAAAATCTCAGGGCAGAAAGGAAACACTGCTTTTCAATTTCATTTCTAAATATTACCCTTGATTCAACTTCTAGTGTACTAGAGGAGTAGAAAAAATTAGTCTTTAAATTTGTGTCTTTCCTTACAGAAATGAGGAACAAAGTGTTTACTGGTTTGTGGTTCAGCAGTGATGGCCCCAAGCTTGGCCTCTTTATAGCCTCTGAAATGTACGGAAGTGTTTTCAAGGAACTCACATAATCTGGAAGGAACAGGGGCAAAATAATGCCACTGAAATTGCCTGTCTTAAAAAGAAAACTAAACAAACCTTAAAAGATTGTTTGTTTTCTTGAAGAAGTCAGACCTGGATAGTAGCATTTTAACTGCTGAATTTTCCTAGCTCTAATCATTGGTACCAGATGATGCCTTTAGTTCTAAAACTCAGTTCAGTATTGCTGGAGAACTGGGAAGATGTTGTGCTGCAGCTGAAGCCATGAAGCACATTCGGTTCACAAAATGAACGAATGTGTGCTTAAAAACGGCAATTGTTAAAAAGTGGAAAAATATGAAATTCTTGAAACACTATTTGAAGACAAAGTAACTGCTTGTAGAAAATGAATTCAAAACTCCTGCAGCTTTTGAACAGGCAGAGCACAAAAATGTGCCTGTAAGGCACAGAACTGCCTTTCTTATAAAGCTGCATGAACATGAAAAAATTAGTGATTTCAACTTTAAAACAATTAATTTAAAACACATTTTGCATTATTCTTTTAGCTGTTAAAATGATATTTTACAGGAGCATTATAACAGAACATTATGGATTATATCAGAGAGACAGAAAAGGAAAACAGTCATGTTCAAAATCAGAAATAAAAAGATTGCAGTTTTCTATGATATACTGTAATGTAATCAGTAATCCTTGTGCTAACACAGATCAAGTCAATGAAACAGTTGAGTTTATTAAAGTTATTATTATTAAAGTTTATTTATTTAGTTAAATTATACAATAATTTTTGTCCATTGCAATGCATGATGTACGGCAGTATATTTTTTTCTTTTTCTACAATACTCCTGTATTAAAATTAAGCTATTACAAATCATATGTATGGAAATATTTATTGAACAATAGCCTAAAATATAAACTCAAGGAGGAATCTGAAACACTGAAGTTCATGTTTTTTCAGTAAATCAGACCCTGTAATTTATTATTTTTACATTTGACTTCTCTTATCAATTGCTTGAAGTAACTACTGCCACAAATTTTTCAAAATATAAGAGAAAAGAAAATCTGGTAAATAAGTAGACTTGAGTCATCGCTTTAAATTACTATTTTCTGTGGTTAAAAACAACAACAAAAAACCCCTAGTCCACTAGAAATATAAAACTATCAGAATCCACAAAACAGTATTACACTTAATAGTAGATTTTATTATTCAGTTTTTGTCTATACAGCAAGCACATGACTAAAGGATATAGTTACTAGTCTTGAGTCTCCAGTATCTGTCATTCCATGCAGGTTACTGCAGTTTCAAATCTGTGTGATGTATTTTAATAGTTCTATACCTACAGTAGAGGCACTTTTGCAGTTCTTACAGGTTGTAAAATGCTTGCCCATACCAGTTTCCAACACCAGTTTCCCACCAACAGCGTGAGATTCTAAGGCCCAGTTCTCAGCTCAAGTAACATCCAGTGGAGCTACTGATTTACCCCAGCTGTAGATCTGAATCTGCTGACATGCTGAATTATTGTTGATTCCAATGCAAGTTTCTATGTGTATATTATGAGCATTATAGTACATGACCCTATGTAGCTCCTGAGTCAGAGCCGTTTAGTTTGCTGAAAAACCCCAAATGTTTACTTCTAGCAGTGCTGCTGAACCATTAACTGTGATTATTATTAAACTGTAGAAAAAAGCCATACGAGTTAGTGTGCTTATTTCCTCACAGAAAAAAATGCTACGACCCTGATTTTAAGATCTAAAAAAGTGACAGTCAAAGCTGAAAGAACAAAGCATAGTTTTCAAATATCTGACAGAGTGTGAAGAACTGGCAAATCTTAAATTTTCTCCTGCTGTCACATACATACTTCTATTTGGACTACACTTTGTGCATATTGTAAAATTAACTAAAATACCAAATCATACAGACTTAAAAACATACTTCAATAAAACTGATTCACATCTGGGTGCTGATACTTTTGAATATATTAAGACTATATATATACATCTTATCAACATTTAAATCTGCAAGCATCCCATAGGCCAAAGAAAACGAAAAACTAATAAATACGCCGAAAAACCCCATACCTCAGTATGAAATCCTGACCCCTTCTCCAACTAAGTACACACAGTCCAAATACACTGAGAATGCCAAGCTACAGGGGCCCCTCTGTGGGGAAACCTGTATTTCAGTCAGCAGCATCCGTCAGCTAAAACGGAAGTCTAGGGACAGATGCTGGAGGAAGGATGACATGTTAAATTGGTGGCCAACTTTAGAATGAATGTGTGTTTCAGTGGACAATTAAGTCAATGCCACACACTTAATAATGCAGTATTTTGTCCAGATTTATGCGCGGAACATAACTATCACTCCAGGCTCATCTCAGTGCAAGATTATGGAGCCACTTAGGCTCCCGGTCCTACAGTCCTGTCACATTTCCCAGCAGGGTCACACAGCGAAGGAGAGAACAAGTGCTTTGTTACAACTCCCTTGGCTTCTGGGGCAAACATCACACTTGGGAGACGACTGCCAAGATGAAATCCACAGGTCTTGGCCTGAGGCTTGTTTAGGCAGCGCCGTTCCGGTGCCTCTGGCCGGTGCCACGTTCCCTCCGTTTCAGGAAACCTCTGCATGTGGCGGCGGTCACGTCCGAGGGCTCGGAAAAGCCAGCCGGGAACTGCCGCGTCCCCTCTCTGCCATTTCGATTAAAAGGGCCTGGCTGGAGGCTTGGGAACTAAAGTCAAGTTTCGGTTCGCTCACAAGGGAAGCGCTTCGACACTTATGTGTTTGCGGGAAGGAAAAGACCGTGGCGGTGCCCGGCAGGGACCCGCCCGTCCCTCCAGCACCTGCTCGGGGAGCGCCCCGAGCCCCCCGTGCGCCACCGCGCCTCCTGAGCCGCCGCACCCGGGGGGTGGCCGTGCCCGCTGGGACAGCTGAGAGAGCACCCCGCAGCCCCCAGCTCTCCCCGCAGCTGCCGGGCCGCCCGGGAGGAGCGTCCCGATGCTCCAGCGCCGCTTTCCCCGCAAAGGCGGGGGCACCCCCGTCTCACTCCGGCTGGACGGGGCGGGGCGCGGGGGCGGGGCCGGCGCCGCGCGCGGCCGTTGGGAAGTGGCGTCACGGCGGGCGCGCGCGGTTGCGCGAGGGCGGCGGATTCGAACGGCGGCGGGAGCGAGGGAGGCGCGAGGAGGAGGAACGGGAACAGCAACAGTGGGAGCAGCGGGAGCAGCAGGAACAGCAGGAACAGGAGCAGGAGCAGAGGAAGATGAGGCGCACGGCGCCCCGCAGCACCCTGCGGAAAATAATAAAGAAACACAAGCCGCAGTTACGCCTGGCGGCGAACGCCGACCTGCTGGTGAGGAGGGAGAGAGAGAGAGAGAGAGAAAGGGGCGGGGGAGGGGCTGGGGGCAGCCGGCCCTAAGTAGGGACATTTACGCTCTAAATGTTTAGGATGGTGCGCACTGCAGCACTTGGGAGTTGCTGAGCGTGACGGGATGCCCAGTTCCTACTGGTGGTGTTTCTGCAGTGACCGGCGGGCAGAGGGGAGGCAAAGTTTCCGGGGAGATGGGCTATTGGCTTGCCTGGTAACACGTGGATAAGCAGAGATAGCTGCTCTCTGCTTTGCTGGGGGGTGCTGCACTGTAGGGATTTGACAGCGGGTTTGGGGATTCAGGGACAGGCTGATGCATAATTATTGTGTTACTACACGTACACACTGCTGATCAAAGAGTTTGGTGTAGACGGACCGAGAAATAGGAATTTGGAATACGAGGCTGTAACACGCAGATGTCTGTTGTTAATGTAGACCGGTTTGGGTGTGCGGGTGGTCTGTTGTAGTCAATGAGTTGCTAAACTGTTCAGGCATCTTGAATGATCATAAATTGTTTGAAAGCCATCTGAGTAATCTCTGTCCAAAACTAAGGAATGACAAGTCTTGTTACTAATCTAATAAGGTGTGGGGACCCTGTTCCTGGTTTAAAAATGCCTGCCACAAAGGTGTGGAGCCATATCAAACAACTTTCCAAAAACTGAGGCCAACACAGCTGGATTGCTTCTGACCAGCACTGAGGGATTTGTGACACAGGTAGAGTTTGTCTCACCAAGGAATTATTTGGCTACAGCAAGGATACCTGACCACAAGAGAGTTTTTGGTAGCTGCTATATTGAAAAAGAAAAAAAAATTGTGCATAAAAAGGATATTCCTTGAAGTGCCTTAATAGGCTTAACTTACTTGGCTGTGTTGCCCTCTTGTTTACAAATGCACGTGATTCTCAGAGCATTAAAGTGTTAATGCATACTCTGTACTAGTATGATCCCTGTCTTGAATTGTAAGTCCATGTTTCATATGTATATAAAAGTTGTGTCTTCCAGCATCTTGAAGGTTGGTATCTGGATATATGAAGCTAAATATAAACATACAAATTTAAAATAAATGAGATTAATATGAGTTAATATAGTAATTGCATGAGAGTATTTAGATTTGAATGTAAACATTAAATATTTCTCTAATTGAGCTAATAAAAATATTATTTCTTCCTACTGTTTTAGCTGTCTCTGGAGGTTTTTTTGGACGAAAGACCTGGCCCCTTGCTACTCATGCTCAGACCCACTCAAAGCTTATTCAGTGGAATGAAGTAGTCAACTAATCAAACTTAGACAATCAGTAATACATTTTTGTAGTCCTTGGTAACGATTGGTCTGTGTTTCCAAGGAAATGAAAATCTGTCTTCAAACTGTGTAGCTGAAAAGGGGTAAGTGGGACATCCCTCCAAATTTTGGGCTTTGGTTCCCATTTCTTCCTGGTCCTGACACTAGTGTTCTGTGTGCTGCAAAGAAAATCAGTGAGTTGAATTGACTGAAACTTACAAACAATAACAATCAGATCTAGCTTAAAATATGACTAATCTAGTGTTCATTCCAACACAAAGGATGAGATCAGAATAAATTTTAATACTGTAGTGGAAACTTAGATTACCTCTTCTGGTGGTGTCAAATTAAATGACCTTTAATGTTACAAGGCTTGGCTTTTTTATTTTCTTCCTTTAAATAGGAATGTCCGGTTGTGGTTGTTGTCCATTATGTTCTTCAACTAGGCACATGACTAACAACTCTTTAGTTCTTTATTTCTCTGGACAAATAACACAGCTGGAATTTTGCCTTAAAAAGAAGTATGGAGGAGTTTATTCTGTAATTATTAGTTAGACAAGTAACAAGTTTTGAGAATGTGTTTTCTAGTGTCTCTGTTATTCGCTGCAAACACTGTAAGAGTGACTAGATTGCATACTTCAGTCATTTATATAGTAGCTGTCTTAACAAGATGGAACCATGTACATTTTGAGCGGAGAGCTTGTGTCTTCTCCAGGGAAGAATGAGAATTGGCTAGTTCAGTTTCTGGGCTATCTTCCTGCTATCTACCTTCCTCCCATGCTTTTATGTTTGAATCTACTTGTCTGGTTCAGTGAGGTGGCCTGCCCGCCTGGCTTAGGAGATAATCAAATTGGGATTTTTTCTGGACCTTCAGTGATTTTTTTTAGTCGACAAAACCAATATCTTTGTATGTGATCATAACTAACAAATTTGAAAGACATAAGAATTCAGATAATTTTGTTAAATACTTGAATGGGGTTTCTTCTTCACTTTTCAGATTTTTTTGATCAAGTCTCCTTTCAAAATATGAAGCTTTGTCAGTATCTGTTTCCTAAGTGTTAACATCTTTCTCTTCACACAGTGTAGGTATAAAGTTTCATCAGCCTTTTTCAGGAAGTTGTTTGGTTTTGTTTGTTTTTCTTTTGAAGGAGTATGATAATATCTTTGGGTGAAGAGATATGAATAGTGTTTCAGGTTTTTTTCAAGGCTCTTTTTGAAAATAAGAGTTAAAGATTTTAGTACTGAACTTCAGATATTCCTCCAGTGGTCTGAGAAGAAAATATGCAAACTTTGTTCTAGCTTGAAATTATAGAAGAAAAGCAGGATCTCAACTGCTTGTTTTATGCTAGAAGGGCATGTGTGTATTTTCATTGCAGGAAAAGCTTAAAGTATTGTGTTGATTAGCCTTTTTTTTTTTTTTGTTATCACCATAGAATGATTAATAAGTGTACGTCTAAGGCAAAGTATTAGTCTAAAGAATTGTTTTGAAGTTATGGCAGCAAAGTAAAATTACAGAGCCTTTCCCTGCTATTCATTAGTTCTGTTGAGCAGGTGTGTGGAAGTTGCTGTGCAGTGTTGTGAGTTTTTTACAAAGTTACTAAAACTTTGCTACCTTTCTTTTCTGGGAAGTAAGCATTCTGTTTTGTAAGGTGATTTGCATGAGTAGTTAATTCAAAACAGTTTTTAATTTTTATGCACAGGGACAATTTCATATGTAGTAAAGGAATGTCTTTGAACAAATATGGTATCACTTAGGTATTTGTCAGTAACTGTCCAACTCATGGTATTTAGTCATTCTACCTTTCATTAGCGTTTCTCAATTGCTTTGAATAACCTGGAATATTTATTAACCTCGGTGCTCTGCTATGGAATATGTTGTGACTATTGTTTAAATCTATCCAAGTTCAGGGGAAGCTTCTCCACATGCAGCAATTCACTTTGAAAATAGGAAAATAAAGGTACAGTGATTCTGACAGAAGATGCAGTTTAGAAAGGTAGTTAATTTTAAAATTAACACTTTTGCCTTTAGGTATCTCAGCAAAAGGACTTGCAAGTATGGAAGCTTTTGTTCCACCTCCCTCTTCTCCCAAAGGTTATTTCCAGAAATATAACCTTCACCTTGATAAGTTTAATAACGAGAGTTCTAATGTTGAACATTATCTTAGTGCCACTGCTTGATTCTTTCAATTCTCACAGATAATTTCTGTGTGAGTTACTAGTTTAAAAGCGTCTTTGATATTTTGCAAAGTAAATCTGCAAGAATGTCTGCTTTTTGTGTAGTTGATGCTTCCAAATTATGTCAAATATTATGTAAATTTATCTGTTGCATACTGGCTTCATTTAGTTCAGGATACTGAAAAAAATCCCAAATAGCTTGTCCTTTGAATGCTGTTCATGTGACAAGAGTCTGTCCTCCAGCAGATTCTCTTTGCTGCAAATTCATTTTTGCCACAAATGCACTTAATCTGTAACTTTCCATGTTATATCCATGTTATATTTTTCCAGGCTTTACAGATCGGGTACGGCAGAGTAAATACATTGCCTAATTCATGTAAATAAAATTTTCATATATTGTAATTTTTTTCTGAGCTCTTTACTGTGAAAGTATTTTTGTACACTTTACATAGCAAAGGTAATACTATTTGAAAGTTTAATTTGCAGAAGGTGCAATTATCAATTTTTCAGGTGGGACCATTAAAATAGTTCACATAATATCTGTATAATGTTAGAGGTTTGTATTATAGGTCCCTGATTACACAGGGGTGCTATTGACTGGTAGTTTTAGTCCAGGTTGAAGCAGTTCCTTCCTTGCCTGCTGAAATTTTTTGCTGCTTTTGTATTAGAAGAACAGCGTTCCACATTGAACAGAATTCTGCACTACCCGTTCTTCTAACATAAAAAGGCTAAGTAAGTGATGAGCTGTTGAGAAAATGGATGGAACCTTCTGACACTAGAGAATTTCTTGTTCTGGAGAAATTAATGTCAATGTCCCTTTACAGTGGAAAGAGGCAGAAGTTCTTGAACTCGTCTGTGGTCCATTTGGCGATATAGCAGGGATGAATTTGCTCTTCATAAAAGTCTGGCAGTTGTAGTCACTGAAAGCTAACTATATTTTCTAATAAGCAAAAAGGCTCCTGGTTCTATATTTATATGTACATTTTATTATTAAAAACTGCTAATAAAAATCAGACTTGATTCCTATTAAATCAGTTGTTGTTTGATCATTTCTAAAGCACTTTTATGATTTAAGTATGCTAAATTTAAACTATAAGAGTCTTGCAGTAAAGGATGTCTTGGAAATTTACTAAGGCTTGAACTCAGTGATTTATTGTTTTTCTGAGAACACCTTTCAGAAATTTGGAAGCAGTCTAATATGCAAATCCTTTGTCCCAAAAAATGAATCTCTAAAAAATCAAACTATGCTTAAGCAAGTTTGAATCATTCTTGGTTTCTTGTTTTTTTCTTCTCTATTTTAAAGGTGCATTTGAACTTCTTACTGTTTCTCCATCGGCTAGCAGAAGAGGCCAGGACAAATGCTTTTGAGAACAAAAGTAAAATAATTAAACCTGAGCACACCATATCTGCCGCAAAGGTATTAAAGAACTTTTAATAATTTTCTTTTTTGCATAATGTAAAATGTATTATGACAGCATATAAAAATATTTTCTGTGTTAAAGTTGTTATTTTATTTGTAATTCAGAATGTATAGAGACTTAATATTCTTTAATCCATCACTGGCAAAATTCACTGTTACCAACACAACAAATTAACTTTCCTTGACCTAATAAGTATAACCTGTTTTTTTTTATTATTATTATTCCATGTTTAAACTCATAGTTGCTATGTATGGGTAGGTCTACAAAGTGGTCTACCAGCAAGCATTGATGGGCTGAAAGCCCGTCCAAAGTTGAGGATCCTTATTTCAAATGATACTACATCAAGGAAGCATGCTGTCTTAACTTCAGTTATATATGTGAAGCTTTATGGAACAAGTGAGAAGTAGTCCAGAGAGGTTCACATATCTTTTTGCACCTTCTGTTCTTACCTTCTTAGTCTGGGATAAATTTGTAGTGGATTCTTGCAGCATGGTGTGGATACTATTTGAACAGATACTTTGCGTGATGTGTTTGGCAAGGGAAGAGCTAAGGGAGGATTAAACTGGATTGCTATATGGCTAATTTAGCATTACAAAAATTGTTGTGTGAATATCTGTGAAGGATGTTGAGTTTTGTATGTATGCAAAAGAAGGGAAAAAGGAAGGTGTTAAGCAGCTTTCTCTGTCTAGAAAGAATTAGTGTCAAAGCATGACTAAAATCCCTTTGTACTTCGCAGCGCATTTCACTTGCTAGGATATGTCTTGTGTACCTCTTGCAAGTCTGTTTACCTTGGTGTCATGAAGGAACTTGGTCTCTTTAATTTGTTAATTGTTTAACCACTTACTCCTGCTGGGCAAATTGGGAGAACAAAACTCAGTGTTATCTGATATTTTGGTCCTGTGGCTTCTGTTTGTTTTCAGTATTTTTTTTCCCTCCGGTGAAGGGTTTAGTTTGATACTTTGTATTACTATAGTAACAGAAATATATACAGAATATGTAGGGTAGCCAAGTGAATGTTACAGTTGGAATCTTATGCATTTGTAATTTCTTTTTAACTGCAATCTTAACATTATTTGAACATTTTTGTGCTCCATTTATTTTTTTAAGATGAAAAGAAAGGAAAAACCGCCTGTATTTTAATAATGTTAACACTTAAACAGTCCCACTTGGGCTTTGAAGTTCATTTTTCAATTTAAACTCCAAACCAAAAAATGTCCTTCCAAAGGTCTGTGTGCTCTTGATATAGAAAGAAATAAGGCATTGCAAACACAAATGGAGCATAGTAGCTGTATGTAATTTTTCTTTTTGTCTAGGCTTAACAGAGTAAGAACTTCAAGTAATCTACTGAGGGCTTGAGAGCACTATTGCTATTTCTCAGCATTAATTTTTAAAATAAGCCTTTTATTTTACAGAATTTTTGCTTATGAATGTTCTTGCTTTAAAAAAAAATCTCTGATATAAAATCTTTCAATATGCTTTTCTTTATTTCTAACATTTTCCCTTGAGATTTAGCTTTGGTGACTCAACTCTTGGAAACAAATTGGCTAGGTGAACCTTTGGTCTGAGTAGCCTAGCATTTTGGACCTGAATTGTAGTGATAAAACCGGTGGTAAATATACTTTTTTTCTTTTTGCAGGTTATTTTAAAGAAAAGCAGAGGCTAGAAAACAGACCACTGGAATTTTAAAGCAAAGTTTTTCCATCTTGTCTTACTAACTTGAGATACTGTGAGCCAGCTTTAGCGCTTGTGGAAGTATGCAGTTTTATTGATGTCTATCTCCTGACTGAGTATCTTGCTCTTTCTTTAAAAAAAAAAAAATAAAAAAAATCTTACAATGTATATTTTTGTACTCCATGCATAATTTTAAAGTGTGTGTCACTTGGCATTTAAGACTTTTGACATACTTTATTTCTTTTGTAAGATGGAGGAATGCCTGTACCATAGGTACTCTTCAGGTACAATGTGGCATTTATTATTAGAAGTGTGAAACTTCTAAAGGAGAACAGTAATAAAAAAAAATGCAGGTTTCACAAAATCCATTGAAGATTGTGCAGTTCAAAGCAGATTTACTAGTTAAAGAAAATCTTGGCTTTCAAAATAATCATTGCAGAAGCAAGTGTGTTAAATATCTTGCCTTCAATTCATTCATAAATGTCTTAGTTACTTTGAAAAGTAGGTTAAAACTTCTGTGTTCTGGGGAAAGAATACATATTTGGTATTTAAAATCATGCTCTGAACTGTTAAGCTGGCCTATTGTTTGCTGTGGTGTATGAGACAATTTGGTGGTCTGTAATTCAGTTGGTGTGGACAGATGCACAGATTATGGAGAAGAAAAGATCTGGCACAGCTGTTGTTTTTGAAGTTAGATCTTGTAAAAATAACAAAGATAAATTGTCATGAATGCCCAGCCATTTCCTCCCCCTTTTGAGTGTCATCCTAACTTGTCAGAGGTCTGGAAATGTACATTATATAAATATGTCTTCTTAAATTAAGATCATATTCTATTCCTAATCTGATACTTGTAACCATTTACTGAACACTTTGCTTAAGGGATGTTTTAATAAAGTTATAGTTGAATCTCACAGTTTGAGCTGATAATACGGTTTTGTGGAATATGTGGTAGCTGATCCTTCATATGCGCAATGAACTATTCTTAAAATAAAGGATCTTTAAAAGTGTTATGTAGTAGTCTAATTTTGTTTAATACCTTACTGAATATGTTCTAGAAACTCAGCAAAAAAGAATTGCATTTTAGAAATATTTTAGTAATCTAAGAAAACTGTAACAATACCAGTACTTTTAATGTCATATCATGTCCACGTGCTTTTTAAAATCCCATGCAGCCTTTGAAAAGTCATTCTTTTCCAGTATGCAGAAATGAAGGATTACTCTTCCACTTAACTCACAGAGCTTAGTTCAGTCACCTTCTTTTAAGGGTTGACGAGATTATTCTGCCTTTTCTTCTCCTACTCCCTTGGAATCCACAAAGAAGGCTGAGAACCTGCACATGTAGAGGATTTAATAATCTCAAGTACATTCTCAGGAATAAGGAAGACCAGACTAAGTATTTTTATTTTTCTTTGTAGTTACAGTCCATGATTTAACAATTTTATTGCAACACTAGATTTTCCTTTATTAGAAATGTTTTTTCCTAATTTTCCCTGAAATATTTTATTGTCTTGATTTTCCTAGGAGCAAAATCCACTCTGAGCTTAGTGGAGTATTCTTATTCCCATGTAGTAGATTGGTGATCAGCTATTGTTGGGGAAGGGAGGCAATGAAGGGTTAAAACCAACCAGTGTACTTCTAAAATATTTTATACAGTGGTTTTGGTCTGCATTCATGGTTAAGAAGGGGTGCCCTTTTGTAATAGGAGAGAGACTTTTGACAACCCATTGTTGATGTTTTGTTATAACTGAAGAAGGCAGGTATTAAGAAGACCTGCATAGCTTGGCAGGTATTCAGGTTTCTCTCTTAAACTTTAAATAAATGCTACCTGGAAATTAATGTGGTTGATGTAGTGTGCTTAAGCATTCAGAAATATAAGATGCTGTTATGTTTTTCTAGTATCTTCTTGAATGTTCACCATAAGGTTAATTATATTAGTATTTGGCAGCTCTTCTGTGCTCCATGTATATATGTGGAGTCTCCTCTATACAGTAATTCTTACTGTATTTTTAAAGTCAAAACTCCTGACAGCAGTATTGTCTAAATACCCATGAACACTTCCAATTAATATAAACTTGGAGGCTATAGTAATAAACTATTTCTGTTATCAAATCTCTGTGTAATGACAGAGCATCAAAGCACATAGTACTATAAAATACTCTTTTAAACCAGGTCTATACTAGAAAGCTTAATGAAATTATGTTCTTTTGTTTGAATTCCTGTGTTGATTCTCTGCCCTTAGGAGGAGAAAGGCAAGGATTATTGAGGGAAGAGTCATGCTGATGCATTTATAAGGTGTCTATCCTATTCAGCTCTATTCATGAAACCTTGAGAAATTTGGAGTTCTGAAACCATTGAGACAATTGATTCACTATTGAATTTCCTGGACTTTTAAACATAAGATCGAAGAAATTTTGGGAAAGAGAGGTGCTCTCTAACAAAAAAAGTAAAATGAAAAAATAGAAGAATTTGGCCAAAGTACTTCTGACGGCCTGTGTCTTGGTTTTCAGCTTTCCGCGTAGCTGATGTTAGTCCTTGGGCCAGGGTGGTATCGTAACTGATTAATGCACAAAAGAAGGAAAAATGTTTATTGATCAGCGGGTGACTATGAGGAAAGAGAGTCGTGCTGCTGCTATATTTGTTTCGTCTCACAGAGTGACTGATAAAAGGAGATCTACTGTTTGCCAACTTGAGGAAGTCTTCTGGTGAGGAGTATGCACTGTTCCAGCTCTTGTGCTTGCATCATTTTGCTTGCAAGATAAGCAAGCAGAGGAGATAGTTGTGAAAGCTTTAAAACTACATTCATGCGTACTGTTGTTTTAATTTGTAGAGCATGTAAATTTAATATTTTATGAGTGGTATAAATCACCTGATTATTAGGTTTAAAGCTGTTTTAAAAAGGGAGCTTCAGGAATGGTATGTCAGTGAAGTTTAGATCTGTGGAGAGATTTAGCCATTTTAACTCCTAATGGTGACAACGGGAATAAATGAACTTGTATACTTTAGTGGGTTAGGAACCCAAATAATCACTGTTCTGTTTGAATGTAAATACGTCTGTTGTTTTAAGTCAGAACATCAACACAGATGCTAGAGAGGACATTCATGGTGTGGAGTTTCATTGTGCTTTTATGTGGAGAAGTGAGGGACTGCTAAAAAAAGAATCTCAGGTTTTTTAACACAAATAGTCAATATTTTCTGGTTATAGTCATACAATAAAGGAAAAAAAAATTCAAAAATATGGATGCTGTAATAGAACAATTCTTTTTCTAGCCATAAGGTGGGGATAGAGCAAAAACTCTCTTTTTTCCCCTGTGGTAACTTTCCATTAGAGAAAGTATTCGGTTTATTCCTACTAAAAAGTATGCTATAGATTGTGACACTTTCAGACTTTTTTTGAAGACTACCAACCCTACACTGCTGACATATGTAGGGCAATTAATATTAAAAAAAAAATCCCATGCACATCAAACAAGGGTGTTCTGATCCATGCTGAGACGGTAAAAGATATGTGAAACTTTGAAGGGTCTTGAAGATTTTTCTTTATTCAAAGCTCAATGTTTCAGTATCATATAGTTTTCTTAATTATAAGTGGTTATTTATAGAACATAGCCTTAATTTTAGAAACTAGTATGTTCTGTGTGCAGTTTTATGAAGGGAATTTTTTTACAAGACATTGCTTATATGGCAGCCTTAACTATGAAACATATCTCTTGTATTGACTGACTTGCTGATTTGGCATTCCATTAGTCATTTATCAGCTTAGAACAACTAATGATAGGGCATTGTAATTCCTAAATGCGTAGGGCTTTGAGGTGATTTATGAGTATATATTTAGAAAGTATGACATATATTTCAAATAGAAGTGCTGATTACAGTAAATCAAAATTCCTTTTTCCAGATCTGTGAAATATGTGTCACATTCAAGTTCTTTAGAATGTTCAAAGTGCTGTGTGTAGTTGTTTTTCATTTCAATACCCTATATGGCATATAGATTCCTTGATATGTTTTAAAGGCACTGTACTTTTAGCTACTGTGGTAGCTTATTTGGATATGACAAAAGAACACAGTATAACAAATCTCTTACATGTTTCAGTAGTTTCAGTTCTAGGGTGAGAAGATGCTGACAGTATTTTTGTTGTGCTAAATACTGAATTGCAAGAAGTTGAAGAGTCTTTCCACCTGACAGCTCATGGTTCTGCAGACATAATCAGTTGGAATTCATTCATTTACTGTTTTGTGAACAATGTTGAGGGTTTGTCAGTTTCTCTGCAGTCCACAGTCATCAAATTCACATCGGCTTTGGTACACAGTATTCTCCTGTGGGCTGGGTTATTAATGTTATCCTGACCAAACTGCTGAAAGATCTTTTCAGGTCATTTGATATCTGTAAGATCAAGTTTCTTACTGAGAAGGTCACTTTCCTGGGGGAGTGATTTCAGTGTATGGAGAATTTGGTGGAGCGTAGAAAAATGCCTAAACAGCCCTAAAGTAACTTCTGGTTAAAAAAAAAAAAAAAAAGGTATATACAATCTTACTACTGAGTAATAACAGGCAGTGACTGCAGCAGTAAAATAAAAGGAAGAACACTTCCTACATAAATGGCTTGCTCTTAATGTTCTAGCACTAGGTCAGGCCCTACAGAAACAGACTGTTTTGTTCTCTGAGTCTGTAGAAAGCACAGAAATATATATATGTTGGCAATGGGACAGATCCTGAATCAAAAAATTATATAGAGCAAACACTTCCACACATCTCTTATATTGGATTTAAATCGGTGTAATTGTATTTGTGCTAACCTCTGAAATTGACAGCCCAATGTAAATTGTTTTCATTTGTTTAACTTCAGTAGTTAAGAACGCACATATCACAAATCAGTTTTAATGAGACTGCTGCAAATTTTGTAAATAAACCAGAGAAAGGAATACATTTAAGCAACATGTAAGCCAGTTTTAAAAATTCTACTGCATATCTGAAATCTTAATACAAGCAAGCCTCTGGTCTTAGCTATTGAAACTGTTATTCACAGGGTAAAAGCTAAAGTAGCTAAAGTTACCATAGTGATGGTGGGTTACATTTGAATGTTTAAATTCTTTATTTTTTTAGTTGACTTTCATTTTTCAGAGAAAACTATTTGTGTACAATGCTGCTTCCAAAACTCGTCCAAAAAAAAAAAAAAAAAAAAAGGAGAGCAGTAAAGAAAAGGGACAGATAAAGGCATGTCATAGGAGATTATTAGATTATTATCTGGCCAACTGTAACTGCATTTCTGTAGTTTCACAATTTGTGTTTCATGTTGTAGTTTAATTGTGGGTTCCCACACTTTCTAGATTTAAAGGGTTGGGTTTTGGGGATGGTGGATAGTAGTTTTCTTACAGTCTAAGTAACAATACTGTCCTAAAACTTTTTCCAATAAAGATATGGGATATCTTACTAAATTGCCATCAGAATTCCACATGGTAATTAATTTTGATGATGCTTTTCCTGTTACCTAATCTGGAAGTTTTTCACACAAATTCATATGGAATAAACCTTGAAAATTCTGATCAAATTGGACAAAATAACTTCATCTTCCTTTGTCTTTTGTTTTCCCTATTGTTTCCCTTTCCTCTTCTGGATAAGACTAGAGACCCATAGTGAAGGCTTATTTCAGGGCAGCAACAATATTTAAAAATCCAGTGCTGCTAAAAGGATGGATTAACTGTCAGGTTTTTTTTGAAGGCACATTACTATTCACAGAATACAGAATGGGTCACGTTGGGTCATCTGCTCCAACCTCCCAGCTCCAGCAGGGTCATCCTATAGCACATTGCACGGGATTGTGTCCAGACAGTTCTTGAGTATCTCCAGTGAGGGAAACTCCACAATTTCTCTAGGCAATCTGTTCCAGTGCACGGTCACCAGCAATGACCCTCACCTGAACTTTAGTATTTCTACATATGTGTTGCATGAACACAAACATTGTGAGACTGTGAAAGTAGGGCCTAGG